TATTTAAATTGAAAGACTCGCTTAAGAATACTTCTAAAATGTATTATCTGAATTTCCATTATTCCTAAGTATGATTTGAAAGACTATGATACACCGGTAAACGCGACTGACTATTACTAGTAGTAGTATTAGCACTAGAGCAGTCATTGATCATATACCGCCGTATACTTGACTACTAGTTTATGTAATTTATACATCCAACGCTTTTTATAATTAGTTAATGTGGAAAATATTCTACATAGAGGTTATTGTAGGGTTGAAATTTGTAGTCGACTACTGATGCCTTGTTCCTTGGGGACTAAGAAGTTTCGACCTCTTATATCGAGGCTTCATCACCTAGACCGAAACGTCGCACTACTCACGAAACAAGGCAGGAATACTCCTTTACAAGTCATCGTAAGACAAACATAAACTTCTATTTGAATTCCATTGTGTAGCTTTGTGCTTAACAACAACTAACCAATTCTTTTTGGAGTAGGTTTAAGGAGTAATAGCTCATTCCAAGGCTTACGAGTTCCTCTAAATTAAAATACTAATGGGCCATGAAAGATCTTACCCACGTATGCATTCTTGTGCTATTAAGATTTATCTTGACTTAATCCTTCAGTGTTCTATGTGCAAAGTGTGCGAACATGTATAGTAATATTAGTTCCTTTCCTGGGGTTTGTTGTTTTATACTATTCTTTCCTCCTGATTCAAGTGTCACAGTTTCGGAATATGCACAGTGTTTCATTTCTTTCTTATAATAATTATATTTATTGTGCTACAACATAGTATTTAATTTCAATGAAATTTGAAGTGATGCAATATTTTAAAAAACGTTATGCAAATTCGTTTATTTTATTTTATCCGCGGCATAGCATCTCATAAAACGGCTGATTTTTTTTTCATCATATACAGACTTTTGGCTCATAATTCCATCTTGTCTTGACCGATTTGAGATATAATTACAGTTTGGGACTCAGGAGGTCAAACCCATTCGACTGATATATTTGAACACGCCCAAGGTCTCGTAGATTAATTTACTTTAATCTTGCCTAAAAGAATTTCAATTTGAGGGTAGGCTGGCTGGTAGAGGTCCAGTTGAGTAATAAAATTGAATCGGGTGTACGCGCGCCTCACGCTTGTTACTGCTGGCGCACAAAAATATAGCTAAGAAAACAGAAAAGGTCTCGTAGATTAATTTACTCTAACCCCGCCTAAAAGAATTTCAAATGCAGCGGTTATTGAGTATTCCCTCTTGTTTATTTATCTGTCTTATCTAGCCGTTTTTACTGGTAGTTATTACATGCACATCATAAGAGATCACGATTACATCTCTACAGCTTTCTCTATGTATTAGCTAAAGTTTGTACTAACGAACTTTTGTTGCTGATGTCGCTACCCTACAATACAGAACTGAGTTGCACATAATGGACAGAGACCAAATAGAGGCTGAAATGTTTATAAGATAGTGCAGTGTACAGTTATGATATAATATTAATATTGTGTGAGCGTGTTGATCTTAACTCGATCTGCCATTAATTATTCAAAACACTGAACTAAAAATACTTAACTATTTAAATTTGAAAGTATCTCTTCAGTATCTATTTTCCCACCTTTAAATATAGAATGGTTCAAAGTTGTAAAATCTGTTTTGTTTGTTTGTTTGTTGTTAAGCCCAAAGCTGCACCATGGGCTATCTGTGCTCTGCCCACCACAGACATCGAAATCTGGTTTTTAGTGTTATAAACCTTCATACATACTGCTTGAAACTCTGGAAGTCGGTGAAATCTGTTCGAAATGTTACGGTAAATCATGATATTTTTTTTTAAACCTAGAATATTACAATGTGAGAAGATATTATAATTTTTAGAATATGAAAACGTGTTACAATTTAAGATCTACGAACGTGTGTTAGATGTTTAGGTCGTTGATTTAGAATTAGTTTAACAGTTCGTTCATTTCCTTTAAGCTTAAGGTGTATTATGATTTCATTTTTTTACTTTAAAATTGTATGCATGAACTAAAGAAGTTAGTTAGCTTGACAAAATCCCGTTGACTTAATTCGCTCAATCGATCTCAAGAAGATTTAAATACTGCAAGATATACAGAACTCTAAGTAAAATTTATTTATTTTTTAAATGTTAAATAAGCAATCTAAATAACACTTCGTTTTTTTTAGATTTCGTGCCAGATTTAAACTTTCCGTCATGCTTTAAATAACTATAAAAAATTGAGTCAGATTGAACACCATTTTGCTACTATGTTTCACAAGCCTTTTTTTTCAGTGATGTTTAAAAGAATAATGTGTAAAAGAGGGCTTGCGTGCCCTTATGCTGTTCTGTAATTTCTTGAAAAAAATTTTTTCGTCATTAAGTAGTATCAGCTGACAAATTTCTTAAAAAG